TCATGCTTGGTCCAAAGGCTTGATTAAATTCTTTACCCAGTGGCACTCAGCGTAGGATTTGCTGCCCCACCGAGACCCGCAAGCACACCCCAGTTTCTGAATGATGGCACACACCATGGCTTGATATTGGCAGGTTCATGAGTCTGAATCAAACCCCGGTATCAAAGCTGTCTAGCCAAGATCATGTAAGGATACAAAAGGGCTCCTATATTATTTGACATTGGACTGCTCTCGACCAAGCTTCAACTACCAAGGTCATCGGCTCTCGACGACAGAGATGACGTAGGTTGCTCAACCTCAACACCTTGCAGTCACCCAGGTGGTGTGTCTCAAAATAGAAACCAGACCCAAAAAATGGCTCCCCTTGAAACCCCAACCCAACCATAAAGGGGTCCGCCTGTTTGAGAAACCCGTACGTCCCTAAATGGTCGCCAACAATGGCTTCGCTTGAAACCAACCTCCCCCAAAAGGCCAAAGACGCCTTTTTATTCGGGGGTGGCCATTTCTTTGGTAGGGCATCTCAAGCCCCGCGTTCGCGGCGCTCCGGAGCAACCCCCCGCACCCTTCCGACCTTCCGAAGCTTCCGCACCGAGGGGCGTCTTCTCCTTGCGCAGGGCCCGGGCCATGGCCTCGTCGGTCTGCTGGCTGCGGAGCTTCGAGCGCTCCCGACGCGCCTCCGCCTCTTGGCGCACCGCGGACCTCGGGGCGCGAGGCGATCCGAGTCGATGGAGTGACAGGCATGGGATCGGAGCCCACGCGGCTTTCCTGTAGGTGTGTTTGATAGAATATAGGATCTCCTCCAAATTGTGGATCAAAGAAATGTATTAAAATGAAGATCACCCAACATTAAGAAAGTGCACCAGGTAAGATAGTTAATGTTAATAAAAGCATGAAAGCTGCAATCAAGAAAGAGAAACGAAATAATGGGATAGCCTTTAATATAAGATAATAAGATCTTAGATTTCGAATTGTAGGCCAAAAGTTAAGAGATGTAAGACAGGAAGATATACCAGAGATTGATAATTCTATTACAAGATTTCCTGTACTTGAAGGTGATAAAGTCATAAAAGAAGTGGATAATGGTGGATATATTGTCCATCCTGTATCACCGCCAAATTCCGAGATTAAAGAAAGGATTAGGAAAAGATATGAAAGTAGAATAATTATGATAGAACAAATATTGACTCTAGGATATACCACTTCTGGAGATCCTTGAAAGATAGGTACAACATAATGTTCAAGTCCTCCAAACAAGCCAGGCATTACTAAAAAGAAGATCATAAGAAAGCCATGCAATGTAATGCTTATATTATGGAAGTTCTGGTTTTCTGGAGATATAATCCTATTTCCTGATGAATATAATTCTATTCTTATAGGGACTGATATTAATGTACCGGAGATTCCAAAGACGAATCCAGATAATAATAAAAAATATTATTAAGCCTTTCTGATTACATTTGTTCAACTAGTGAATGAATAATATTGTAGAATAATAGAAATAATATAAGTTTAGATTGTTAATGGTTGGCTATTTTTTATATTTTTCCCCAATATATTTTTCCTTTCTATTACCTATCTCTTGTCCATTCCTATCTCGTGCTTACAGTGGCTTATCTTATAAAGCACGAGATTTAAAAACAAGATAATTAGAAAAAAGAGACCGAAAGAACGGAGTGAATTTGAGGTAGGACACCTTCTTTCTTCACAGTGACTCCGTCTTTCCTATCAATTAATTTTCTATATTTTATCTTTCTTTTTATTCTATTATTTACTTCTATCTCCAATTCCCTTAATTTGCTGTAATGGGGTCTACCCTCGAAAAAGGACGAACGCACTTTTTGATACCGGTTTTGTTTCTGTGTGGGTTTTTTGGGATGCACGCCAAAGGAAACCATCGTTCTTGTGCTGCTCTTTTTGGTAACCCCCCCGTAGGTATTTCGTTTGAAACTTTGTGAGTGTACATAGTGTACACAGTGTACCCAAAATCACCCCCTCTCTAGACAACACAACAAACACGTTTGACCATTGCGCACATGTCGAAGACTGAATCAACCTAGATGATCCTGGATTTATATGGACAATGACCCAAAATCCTGGGTGCTCCCAAAAAAGAAGGACTCGCAAAAATCCAAGTCAATATGAGGGCCCCTCGAAAAAAAGATCAGGATGACCTCTTCTAAATGTTTACCCCCTCAACTGACTGCTGACTTGGGTAGGTTCCACTTGTTGATTACCCCTCAACTGGAAGTCTTCCTTGGGAAATCAACCAGCCCTGGGCTACCTCAACAAGTGAGTATGTGCCAAAATAGGGATCTGGGCCCCACAAACGAATTTTGGTTTTCCAATTGGTTCAAACATGTCAAAATCGGGGACCCATAAAATACGGCTTTGCCTTTAATTTCTGTGCATTAAAACCAGGGGTAAAAAGGTAACTCCAGAAAACACGAGCCCATATAACACTCACCCAAACATGTGAGCGCTGGTTTCATTCCCCTTAAGTTTCCCGCATCTTTGCAAGCCAAGCGGTCCCTTCCGCGGATTTCTGGCACATGCTTTTCATCGTTGTCTTGCGCAAACCTTCCGAGACGCGTGTTTTGCAAGATTTGCTTCCGCAAGTATTGGCACAAAAAGGAAAGTCAGTTTAAGTAAGTAATGAAAGTCATGGTCCGCCTGTGTTGGTGCAGCATGTTTACCAGTGCTACGTGAGCACCTACTGGCCTGCAAACAAATGGCCACCCTTCCGCAGAGCTCTCGCATACCTTCCGCAAAATCCGCTGACTGTTTTGGTCCTCTTGGCTTGCTGTTGGCTAGCAAGCCTTGCTTGCGCCTCTTGTATGGAACACCTGTTTGCTGTCTGCTGCTGTAATCGTGTTCCCGTGTTGTTCCATGCAAACAAACTCAAACGGTTCATATCAACCCACAAAGCTTCGCAAACCTTCTGCGCAATAAACGCGAAGCCTTCCGCATGCTTCCGCGCGTGTGGCGCGGTTCACATGTTCAAGAATAGCGTTCCTCTCCCTTCTACTTCAGCTTGCGGGCAACAAACACGGCAGCTCATGTGGCTCTGTGACTCGCCAAAAAACGGTGGGAAAGGGTAAAACAATGAAAGAACAAAAAAGAAAAGAAACAAAAAGCAAGCGTGCGGGCGCAGAACCAAAAAGGCAAACCGCCGCATCGCTGCGGAGGGCGAGGGGCGCGTTCGCCTGCAAGGCATCCGCTCGTTGCAGCGTCTCCGCGGATTGGCGCAAGGCCACGCGCAAGGCGCGGCTGATCAGCGCCGGCACCATGTGCACCTCCACCTCCACGCGAGGTCGGTGCTAGAGACAAGCCTCCCGCATGGTTCGGAGGGAATGTGCGAAATGGGCCTGGAAACGCGTTCAAGAAAATACAAAAGCCTTTGGTTGAGGAAAAAGAAATAGAATGCCAGTGCGAAAATGGAATTGGATATTGACAAATGAGATACCGACAGTAGTCGTGGAGTTGTGTGCTACTTGTGAATGGGTCTTAATGTGTATCTTGGGCTACTGGTATTGATATTACTACCAGGCAAGAGGATGTAAATGTGACCTTGTGGCATCATTCCCTTGCGGCATTTGTTGAACAAAGAATCCAACCAGATCGTTACGGAGTGGCTGGGTGAAACATGATGCTACGCAATGGCAAAATTCACAAATAGTCCGTTTAACACGGATGATGCATGAGTTTGCCGGTCGTTTCGGAAACACCACCATCCTGTTGATTGAGGTGCGATTGCGAAAGATACAACAAAAGCCTTTCACCGGTCATGCATGACCTTTGTCATTGTCCATCAGCTCAAACAAATGAAAGCCGCCGGCACGATCCAATACCGCCTTGTGCCCATTGTGCTGGCCGAGGTTGGAGCGTGCAGCCGAAGCCACGCCGAGCAAAAGCCACGCTCTCCTTGGTGACAAGTTGAAACAGCCGAGATCTAAAGCGGAAGTACATGCTACAGAAACAAGAAGTGTTCTGGGAACCATTCTGGGGGGGGGGGGGCCTAATGTGTCTCCTTGCATGGTTGCCTGGATTTTCTGGTGCCAAGCCATTCTATGATGGGGGCTATATACAAACACCCTTAGATTGTCATTGACTCTTCGAGTTGCCCAAGCATGTCAACCCCAGATTAACAAACCACCGCCCGGTGGGCGCTGCCCCCATGACATTTCCCGGTTGCCAGGAACCCGTTGCCCAATGGGGGGTAAGGTGCCGGCAAATCACAGCTCCTTCAGGGCGGGGATTGAATTGCCACTCAAACATCCAACTTTAACTATCTAACCAATGTACTGATCTGCACGTTATGGAATTAACACCATTTTCAGGAGGGTGTGTGTGTGTGTGCGTGCTTGAATCAGCTTGCTGGACGTGGAACCCATGCCCCCATTGCCCCGCCAAGCGGCAGGCCGATTGCCATGTGCATTTCACAGAAAAACGAGCTTCTGAGCCAGAACTGGCTGCGACACCTCACCTGCCCTGGAAAATGCACTGAACACAGACCCCAGCTAGGCAAAAGGTCCATCGTGATCCCTTCGGAACTGAGAATCACATCCAGCCGGCAAGGCCGCCCAGGCTGACCAAAAGCATGGGTATCGTCAAAGCAAAGGCGCCCCAAACTGAATACCCAGCCATTTAGCTCCACGTGGAAAAAAAGAATGTGCCCCTAAACGGGGATTCATAAACTCGGGTTTCTACCAACATGACACCAAAATGGGCCCAAATGGATCTCCAGTGCAACGGGCCGCCTGATGCCAGGTGTCCTTTCAGAAAAAAAATGCCAATGTGAAATTAGAATCAACAAGGACACCTTTGCGATGGCCCCAAACCACCATCCCCAACGCGTATCATCCCAAGGCGTATGGTGAGATGGGTGGTTCTGCTTCTGGGTTGGTTTCCCTGAACATACCAACCACAAGGGGATCCAAAATCATTTTGAAAATCACAAATGCTGCGGAGCCGTCCCTAAACCATCCTCACTCATTCCCGTCCTTGCGTCTGGATCCTCCACCGGCCGCCGCTCTCGTCTCCAAGAATGGCCGTCGTGAAGGGCCTGCAAGAGCTTCCGTGACCGCTTGGGATACCCATGGGAAATCACTGAAAAACTGTTTTAGCATCAATCTAAGATACCCGAAAGAAAACTTGAAGCCTAAAAACCAACTGTGAAATCCTGGCGTGCCGCCACTAGAACCACGCTGAAACCCATGGAATCTATCTGTTTCCAAGCAAACTGACCCAAGAAGGACACATCTGCGCCCCGGTTCGCAGCTCTTGCGGACTCTCGCGGAAGGCGGAAGTCTCAGGGAAATGCGTAGAGGTTCACCTTCTGCTGCTGGTGGGGCAAGTAGACCGGCGCCGCCGTGCCTGCAACCTCCGTCCACACCATCTTCCCCACCTCAGCGCCGTCTGGCTGGGCCACTGTAAGGGGTGGGGGGTGATGTCCCGCCACAAGTTGGAGAGTTGAGTTCGGGAAACCAACGCACTCCCGTCAAGCCAGCAAGTTCAAAACTCCGCGTGTGGGTTCTGTGAGTCAGGGACCCTTATGATAACCTCTAAATAAGTACAGAAACGGGCCTTTTCACCACGCATAGGCTCTCACAATCATGGGAAACTTACAAATGGTTTTTGTGGCTGAAATTCAGTAAGATTGAGATTCAGTGTCCCCCTGATGTTTGTGCTTGAAATTTGAGCCCTGTTGGCTTGTGTGGTTTATATATTATGTGTGAGTTTCCTTGTTTTGGTAGGGTCTTTATGTTCCCTAGGCTTTGTTGGACATTCTTTGCTATTGCTATTCCCCTGGTTGTGTGATCAAAATTGGGCGCCCCAAATTCACCATAGACCAACTCTCCCCACATGTCCCCCTTAAACATCACTTCATGTAATTGAAAAACAGTCGCCGCTGGAGGTGTCCCAAAACTTGATCTGTAAAACGTCCGCCCTTGGACATCTCACTTTGGAGCCCTCTGACCTCGTAGCGTTTGAAGCTCCCTGCCGCTGGGGTGTAGATCTTGCCCTGCAAGTCTTCGAAGCGCCAGCGGGCCAGCGTGACGTTGTTCCCTTCCTAGGCGCGTGGAAGTGACGCTCCGCACAAACCTCAGACCCTCAGTGGATTCCAAGGGACAAAAGGGCACACTTTCGTTGACGCTTGATTTTCAAGGAAAAAAACCCTCCAAACAGAAAGAAAAACACGGGGCACCACTGGGGGTCTGGAATAAACAAGCTTAAACCAACATTGTTTAAGAAAACACCTGCTTTGGGTCCCCTTTGAAACACATTTTGCCCCACCATGGCCCCTATGAAGAATGCAAGTGCACTTTACAGGCAGCCTGAAAGGGGAATCGCCATTTGATTGGGTTACCGCATCTCAGAGGAGACTGGGCTGGATTTTGCCCCAAGAATCAACGGACACTTTCAAAGGGACCTAAAAGGGCATGATGCTCTCTGACTACATGGGCCAGGTTTCTTGCATAACCCCAACCCAAACTGGCTCAACTGGCTCCAATCGCCATGTGCTCGTTTGCTCCCTGAAAGCCAAGCGTTGGGACAAAATCAATTTAAGGCAAACACATTTGTTTGCTATGGGAAATGGGCAAGCTGAATGTTTGTTGTCCGATTTGCAGGATTCCAGAAATGAAGCTGTGAAAACGAAGAAACACCATCAAGACACCGCACCAACGGTGTTCAATGAATTCCGTTCCCATTTTGCAAGACTCACTTCAAACTTCCAGGACATGTTGGAAAACAAATGTCCAACACCGTACTCCAAAGCTTCCAGGATTTGTTCATGTTTTCCCCAGCTGAAAGATATGGGAACTTTGCCAAGCTCTGGAGTGGTTCGGAGGTGCCGTTGGGATGCCGCCGGGCTTATTTTTGAAGCAAACACGGAAAAAAAGCGCCGGGTGCTCGTTCCGTCGCCGCCCGAGCTGCCGGGTACTTCGCCCCGAACGAGGTCCACACCACCAGCAGGGAGGTGTCGATGGTGACGTCCCCGTTCGCGGGGCTGGGGATGGGATGTGCCAGAGTGGGCGCCTTGCAGGTGAGCCCATCGAAGACCACCTTGGCGAGCACCAGCTGCGTGCGTTTTTTGGAAGAATCCATCAGTTGGGTGAAAAGCAAACCAAAAGCAAAACCACCATGTTCGGGGTGCCCCAATTTTGACAAGCGGACGCTGCTGCCCTGCAATTGGATTTCTCAAAATAGGAATCTCCCCCCCAGGCAACATGGATGGTTGCCGTTCGGTGTCTCTTCAATACCACTCAAAAGAGCGTCCACAATTTTGAGACACTGTCAAATTAACAAGGAACATAGAACAAAGAAAAGGGGTCCGAAAAAGCAGCGACCAAAAAACTGTGGTCAAACAAAGAACTCTGGAAACCACGCGCTGAAATTGCTCCCCTGCAGAAAACTGAAAAATCAGTCCTCTTTTGGGAGGCGGTTCCATACTAACTAAAGGGGTTCAAAGAAAAACAACAACTCCTGCTTGTTTGGGTGGTTCCGTGTTACTCTGCAGGGGGTGTAGGGCTTGATGGAAAACCAAAGAAACATCTCTAAACGGGCCCGGGACATGGCAAGTGCTCCAAGTGTCAGTTCGGGCACTACACCCATTTTGGCAGAAAAGAAATAACCAGCGACAACGAAGGTGCCAAACAAATGGTGCCTGGAGCTTCCGTTGTTTGCCTGGGTCTTGCTTTGTTCGCGTGTTTGTCGGCGTCTTTGGTTGCGTGTTTCCTTGTCTGTCTAGTTTGCATGTCCGCCTACATCGGTCTCTGTTTCTGGGATACAAACTTGGCAACCAATGTCCGCTCTGAATGGGCTCTCTTGCTTCCCACGTGCAGCAATCCTGCTTTGCGCGGCGAGCTTGCGTTGTTGCTGGTGTTCAGTCGGGAAGCTGCGTGCTGTTCCTGGTCAGTGCAGATCATGAATATCATGAATATTAGCTCTTGGATTATGTGCTGCAAACGAGGCAGATCCTCTTGAGCGCTACACCAACTGGAAAGCCGTGCCAAAAACATCCAAGAACCCTCAAAACAGACTTTGGTTTGGGTCTCCCCTCCAAAAGTCTCTGGCAACGTGAGGTCATCCGGGCCACCGACTTGGCCCCGTAGGTGGCGGCGCAGTTGCCGTACCAATTGGGCCGCAAGATGCCCGGGTTCACCGCCACGGTGTCTTTGAAGGTCACGTTCTCCGGGCCAAGGCCCGCGCCCCAGAGCACGAACATGTCCTGAGCTGTGAGTCATACCCTCCACCAACTAACATGGAAGTGCAAAAAGGCCCTTTCCAAGAGGAAAGTAGTCTTTCTACAGGGGTCTGTGCACTTCCATGTTAGCTGGTGGGAGGGTAATCAAAACCCGGTATTAAAATGGTCGATCCCCAGAATGTAAAGAATTAAGAAGGCGGATATCCGCACCTGTTTGTGGTTGGGATTGTCCCTTAACCTTCATCCACACGGATATTGATTGTGGCTCAAGTTTTCTCGTACCAAAACGGGGGCTTTAGGAGATTCCTGTCCTACCTCCCCACATGTACTCATAGAACCCAAAAGGGGTGCCCCGAAAACAGATTCGAATATGGCGGTTCCATGTTCATCTGGAACTTCCAAGCCTGGGAAAGCGCGGATTGAGCTTTGGAGAAAAGAATGATGCTTGAAAAGAATGGGGGATCAAAGCCTAGACCTTCACAACTATTGGTTGCAGGTCAGCTCTTTGGCGGATGTCCACTTGTCCACTTGCCCAGGACAGTAACAAATCTAGGGGATCCATCAAGACTCCTCAAACGTGCTTGTCTAGTTTCCAGTTGATACAATGGACTGCTGTGAAAGTGTAACACTTCAACACATCGGACTTCAATGACAGCGGAGCATCGTCTCCGGTGTTCTCAAAGTAAACATTTTGCACCAGCGCGCCACGAACGTAGCCATGGAGATTGATTGCATCGGCCTGTGCAGATCTGGCGACCACATTGTTGACGTACAAATCCTGTGTTCCTTCTGGATTGCGGGCTTGCGGGACCCAAACGCCCACCTGGCTGCCGCGCACGCCGTTGGGCTTGCAAAAGCAGCATTCCTCCAGCCAACGCTCGGTCTTGCATTGGTAATTGCCGGCTATAGGCGCCCCCACCTTCGCAGCATCCTCTGCATAGAAGTAGTCGTTGAGTCGAATGTTTTCGATGACCACATGCACCGAGCCAACCCCGTCGGAGCCGGCATTGTTCACCTCGGACGCGTTGCAGTTGTTCTCGGCGCAGCCCTTCGTTTCGAAGGCGCCGCCGCCGCAGAGCGCGCCGTTGTCGCTCGGCCGAATGACGTCGAGGCCCTGATAGCTGATGTTACGCACGGAAACGAAGCTGCTCAGCACGAAGCCCACCCTGGTGGTGACCATGTCCTGGGCATGACAATAGTTCATTCGATAGTCACTCACTCCGCGCGTGGCCAGGAACAGCGTTTGCGCTTCCCACCTGGGGGTGCGGGTGGGGGCTGCCATATCATTCGGGTTGCTGGCCCCGGTAATGGAGGTCTTCTCGGGAATCAACAATTGCTCGCTGATCTCGAAGATCCCCGCGGGGAAGAGGTAGGTCTTGATCCCATCTTGCAGGGAACAAGTGATATTTGCGTGGGTCACGGGCGGCTTGGAGACAATCGGGATGGACAGGGCCGTGACATTCGTGCTGCAAAGGCCTGATGACACCGCTTCTTTCCAGGCAGAATATGCAAAGGTCACACAGGCCTCACAGCGTTAGCCCAACGTCGAACGCCACAGAAGAATCTTCCGATGGTTTCCACAGCCAAGGGGTGCCAAATGGCCCAGACATGCTGTGGATGGTTGCGACATCCTGCACCTGCCCCCGAAGATCAGGGCTACCTATATTCCACCCAAACAAGAATCCACGACCAGTTGGCCAAAAAGGGGTGATTGTCTGAAACCACCAAAAGGTGAGAATGTTGGGAAAGCCAAGTGTCCAGCACCCTAGCCATGAAAGCCTGGAGTTGGCTCCTGTCAGCAGCAATGTACCGATGCTTCTCCTTAAGCTGAAAAGCATCGTCTTGAGAGGGAAAACCGTTGCCAAAGAACTTCAATGAGAAGTTGTTCAAGTTGCTTGGATGCCGGATTCATCATCTTAGAAACCCGCTGGATGACGGGACGGTAAGACAACTAAATGCTGGCAGGGACGTCTAGGGGTCAGCTTGCTACAAACCAGCTGCACAAACATGTTGCTTCCTCGAGCAAACATGAACAATCCCAGACCCTCGTGGCCTCTGGTTCAATTCCTTCAAACATGAGTGCAGCAACATCAGCGTGGCAACAGAAGTCCACACATGCCGATCCGCACATGCCGACCACGACCGCAAAGCTCAAAACGATGCCACCTCCACCACTGCCTGAGCGTCCTCTCGAACCAACCAAAAACAACAACTGCCGTCTAGAACAAACCCGCTGCACCCCGACCGCCCGGTCGTTTCCCCCTCGCGCCTCGCAGGGCGCAGCGCCCGCCTCCGCGAATGCCTCCTCCGCGTCCACCTCGCCCGCCACCTGGGTATGGGGCAAAAGTAAACCACCAGGGGACCGCAGGTTTCTGTCCTTGGTTCCATTAAAAGAAATTTACCAGGCTTCCAGTTTGGGTACCAATCTTTGACCCACAGCCTTGCGGGCGCGGAGCAGCAAGAGGTTCAGCGCCGGCGTCTCCTCCCACTCCCAGCCCCGCGCCAGCGCGAAGCACAGGAGCCCTCGAAGCATGGCGCCAGCGCCCCCAAAAAAAACCGACGCGGGAGCACAAGCAGCCGGCCAACGAGAAGCGTGTCTTAGGGGCGTGGTAAACAGGTTCACGCATGGCATGCGTGGCTGATCGGCTTTTGTCTACCGCAAGGAAAGAAAGGAACGTAAACCTGACTGCGGAACCACCAGTGGTGACCCGTCTAATCCAGTCTAATCCACCAAACCAGGGACTATCTTCATGAACGAAATTGACCTGCAGAACTGACGTGATCAAAGCCTTCATATCAGGAAAGAATCATGGTGTGTTGTCCGCATGGCACAGCCCATCTGAAGCTCGAGCCGATTCCAGCTGAAGTCGCACCAGGTCTTGGAAGGCCGGATCGTGTCAAGGAATCCGGGACGTGAGCCAACAAACTGCACCCTTCAGCACGATTCCAGCAGCCAAGCCCCAAACAAACATCCAGACCGCTCACATGTTAGCCAAAAACGACCCCAGCGAGGGTATGGGTCAAAACCAAACCACCATGGGACCGGGTTTTCGTCCTTTCCATGCACCCGCGCAAGCCATTTTGGGGTTACCCACTTTTTCACCCACCACAGGAAACCAGCCTCCATGGGGCTCATCTTTGGGCCTGGCAAGAGGTGCGCGTGTCAAGCGCGGAGGGGTGAAGGGCTGGGAGTATCCCCATCGCCGAGCCTCCAAGCGGAGGATTCCGGAGTCGTCTCAAACAAAAGGCTTCCAGGTTCTTCCAAGGGCTGAATGAGATCTCCATTGACCAACTTCTGGCCTCTTGATCTAAGGCTGGCATGGGGTTCGCTTCCTCGGGAGAAGGATTCTTGAAAGAGCGGGGCGATTTCCTGTACAAAGGACGATTCGTCAGAGATTGACATTACCGATCTGTGCCTGTTGATACAAGAGGCACAACAATGCAGCGTCACGGGTCCATCGCTGGTGGTGCTGCTGATTCACCCCTGCCAGGGAACTTGCAACTTCCCACCGTTCCTGGGCCAAGGAACTCAGGATAAGTTCTACTTAAATAGTCCGGGGTCAACCTTAAATTCCCAATCCTGATTCAGAGCCAAGGCAGGGGGAGCCATAGGAAGTTCGTACCAGTAGCTGGTCAATTGCCCCACCCACGAATGGTCGCCAATAGTCACTGCTAGTCTTAGACTTGCTTAACACCCAGTCCAAAGCAGATTATTTTTTGGGATCCTTCAAAAAACAAGAATCCGACAAGAAAATTGGGGACCTACGGTTTTTTGTTGGGAGCTACGGTTTTGTCCGGGTATCTTTCCATTCGTCTGAGGCAAGCACGGGCGTAGCGCTTTCTATTAATATATATATATATATATATGTACACATACATATACATGTATGTAGATTTTCAATATTATGGCCTAAAGAATCAGACAGGTATCCTGCCTCTACCCCAATATCTTCGCAGGGCCAATGTGCTGCAATGTGATGACCCCCTCCGTTCGATCTGCAGCACTCACACCTGCAGCTGGCTCGACAGCAGGAGCCTGGCAGAGACAAGCTTTCTTCACACAGGTGGCCATGGGTCAAAATCCCCTACCCCCAGTAAACATCCCAATCCCCACTAAAAACGACTAAAATGGGTGGTGCATCTACCCTATTTTTTTTGACCCACAGCCAGGTCGCAACAAGAGGTTAGTGGGGTGGGGAGGGGGGGGGTGCTTCCGAGAGGGAGTGCAAAAGGACAAAGAAGCGCGGCGTGCATGGTCTGCTCCTTTTGCTCCTTTTCTGTGGGTGCGTGTCCTTTTTTCACATACTCTCAATGACCCACTTCTGTATCTCTTCTCAACTTGGGCAGAAACTGGGGCTTCTCGCCTCTCCGAGCACCGGCTTGTCGAACATGGGCTCCTCCTGTCGATCCGACAGGCGAGTAATACTCAAAACCTGATAGTCAAGTATTGTGTGGCCCTACATGGGTTTTCACAAAAAGACACCCCGGGATGCTATGTACATGATTGCGCTTTGGCGCAAGAGATCAGAGCCCGATTGAAAAGAGACAAAAAACAGGCCTGGGGTTGCAACAACAGGCTCTGCATCTTGCAAATTTAGAGCTCGTACTCTCATGGTCAAATCCCCCAAATGGACCAGACACAAAAAAGAAACGCTGACCAACCTTGAGGGAACACCGAAAATAGAATGCTCTCTTATACGCAGGTTACTTGCTGAGACCCCCAAAACGGCCGTTTTACTCACTCACCTTCCTTCCCTCGCGTTTTTGTTCCTCCCCCAAGTGTGCGCTCTCCTCCAAAGACTCCCAGTCCACCTGGCGGCACTTCTTATTGTGGTTGGGTTGGACAATCAACTGAGGTGAATCATTTCAGTTGCAGCACTTATGAAGCTGCGGCTCAAAACTAAAGAGCTAGGGTTTCGCAGCTGTTCATCTTTGGTCCCATTTCCCAAGGTGCCATTTTGGTACATGTATTTGAGCCACAGCCTTACAAACCCTGGTTGTAGCTCCTACTTACCTCACGTTGGACATCCCAGTGGCCGAAAAATTCAACCCTGTAATTTTCTGCCTTCTGGTTCTCTGAAGGCCAAAGGCTGGTTCAAAATACCATTTGCGACCCATCCTGGGTGGCCTTGGGCACCGAAACCTGAACGCAGTCCTCCGAAAAGGCCGGTGTGGGGTCCGATGATCGGTTTCCAGGTTGGCTATCCTAAGTAGTATTTCTTGCTTTGAAACCAAAATTGGGTTGACCACCAAAAGGTCAGGGGGATAAGTCTCGCTTCCTGAGTGGACGGGCCAAACAAAGTCCCCAAACTGTTTGTTTACCACTAAAACGACCTTTTTACAAAATTGAGAAAAAGCCCAGGAACTCAGGGAGTGAGAGAGTGGGAACACCTTGCCGGTCAAGGTGTGGTTGCGAGCATTTGGCTGGGGCATCTCAGGTAACCCGAAACGCCGGTTTTGCCCCGATGGGCACCGGTGAGTCTGTTGACAGGGTGCGGTTTGACCCGGGAGCAGGCTTGACATTTCCGTGCCCCTTGAAAACCTAGGTCCGCACGTAAATCTAGGGTGGTTGGCCATCCCAAAGGCAAAAATTGCAATAGAACACAGGCAAACGGGCTACCAGGTGGCTTGCTGGATTATCTAGGGAATGCACAATGAAGATCAAAACCGCGCAAGGAGTCATTATTCATCATCCTAATAGGGGATAAATCCTATGCATACAGCTTCTTCTGAGCAATGCAGGAACGCCTTCGCACGTTGAAGCCTTGCGTGTCGCTTGGCTGGCTTAGTGCGCCCAGCAGTTCTCATCCAGCTCCAACTGAACTGGGTTGCCCAAATTGTCCCCATTAAGCATTAAGCATCACCCCACCAAAAAACACGCGACCGTCAAGTTGGCTCAGAAGGTGATGCTGCAATTCCCCAAACCGGAGGGGAAGTGCAGGAAGTCTTACTGAACCCATCTCGAATTTCCAAACACCGGGCATCGACCACTCTCGCCCTCAACCACACCCGTCTAGCAGTTGATTCCTGCAAATTCATTTCAACCACTGCTTTCCCCTTGGCTTGGGCAGTTTCCGAGAAAGGATCCCTGAAATCCACAGGAGAAATGGTTAGAAGAACTCCACGCAAACAAAAAGACGCGCTCAGCTTGCCCCGGCCTTGGCACTCGGCTTCTCTTGACTCTCCCGCTCCTCCCGAGCCCTCTGCTGTTGCTGCATGCCTGGAGACAGCGGCTTAGATATTGCTTTGCCCCGAAACATGGAAGGCGTGCCCCCGATTGCGTAGGTCTTCCGTTGTGGCGCCGGGGTCCGAGAAAATATGTTTTTCCTGCGTGCCGGAAAAAAAAAGAAGAAACAAAAAGAAAAAGAAACAAGACTCCCCGATCGGAGGGGTCAGGATCGAACCAGCATACTTGGAGCATGGGGAGAAGGGGTCTTTATGCTTGTTCTTGCCCGTGTCCTCCCCTGCATCTCCCCCTCCCCCCGCTGGCTCTCGTGGTTGAATTGTTGAAGCCCCCAATATCCCTCAGAGTTGGAACATGGACGACCTCAGCTTGGGCCACTACACCTGAGACTCGGATCAAGCCGATCAAATCTCTATGGGTGTCTGTTTCCGCTGACCCTTTTCAGGTTGCTTCAAGGGAGGCCAAAAGGATTGTTTTGCATGTTTGGGTCCTGTCGATTGGGAGCACTATCACCACAGAGTGATCCGGGACCATTTCCACTATCGCCCGGCCCTCTTTGAATTGGCGGCGCCTCTCATTCCTGCTGCAAGACGTTGTGGCCCTATTTTGACACATACCCAAATCAAGCAGAGCGACGATGGTTTTGGCCAAAGCTTTGTGCAAGGCTCGCTGTACATCGCCAATCCAAAGGGGCAGATCCACAGCACGTGCTGCTCTGGACACGGATTTCCGGCCCCTCCAAATGACGCATGCCTTGCACAAACAAAACTGAGCCGGTCCCTTCTTGGATGTCCTTTCCATCACCTTCACGATGAGACTCTCGCTCAAACACAAAAAATAACACTTAGAGCCTTCCCTCCCAGGCATCAACAATAATCAAAATGGCTGACACACGTGGGATTGTTTCAAAACTCGGGGAACCCCACATGGTTTTTTGTGTGTTGGTGTCCCTTTGAAACCCCAACAAAGGGAATTCCCCCCCCCCAAAGAAACTTTTTGGCAACACAACTTCTCATCCCAAACCGTTGAGTGCATGCCTGCGGCTCCTGGTGAATGGAGTGCAAAAGGCTCGATAAGGTTGCTGGGGGAGAGAGGGGAGGGGGAGGGGGAGGGGGAGCAAATTCTGAACATGCCAAGACGTCCAAAGAAAGCCAACTATGAGCTGTGTGCGCCGATTGGCATCGAAGTTCAATTGCACGTGGGCTCACCACTCTCAACACAGGAACACGCTCTATAGCGAGTCAGTTAATAGAAGACCAAACCTTACTTAAAGCCTCTGACTTCCTTACAATGGCTTAATTTTCGAAAACACAGCCACCGCAAGAAGGGACAGGAACGTTGGAGGACCCTTCACTGGGCAAACAGGCACTCACCGCAAAGCACCACGGCCTGACGGCCGATGGTGCTCCATCACCTCCTTGCGCACGCGGGCGAGATGGCCAAGCCTTGCCGCAGCATGCGGGTCCCCAGACCGGACAGGCCACCCGAACAGGCATCAGGGCACGCGGGCCGTCCACACCAAATGACATCGCTTCCCGCACCACCTGCAGCTCTGGCTGGGTGCTCCATTGCACTGATACACGGCACTACTCAAAGCGGCGCGTCCTCCCACGCGTGTCCGCCTTGTTGTAAAGCGTCACTGCAGCCTTCACTTGGTCAGAGTCGAAATTGACCCCAACCACCAAAGCCTCCCGGGAGTCTCTTCTGTTCCTGGCCATGAAATTCTGCCAGTGAGTTCGCCTGTACTCTTCCCGAAGCTGATGCCCAAGGAGCCAAAATCTGCATCCTCACCAGGCATACAGAGTTATTCCAGTGCTGCTTGGCTCTATAGAAAGCCTGAACTGTGCGCAGATCACCCTCCAAGAGCTTCCACAGGTCTCTAGATGCCATGGTCGTGATCTGCAGGCTGCTTGAGCACAGTAGTCAACTTGCCTGACTTTTTCCGGTAAGTGGCAACATTCTGGACTTGTACAATTGCATCTTGGTATGCCTGGGGACGGGGAGCCTCCGCAGGCTGAAGCATGTGCAACGCTTTGTCATGCCGGGTGCGCTGGGTCAAGGAATCTTGAGTCCAATCCGTGGCAAAGTCAACACCAAGCACACGCACCTGCTGGACCAAAGCCTTCCCTTAAAAGCCCACATGTTGCAGCTCTTGCACATGCTCAGATTGCTTGCGTACAATTTTCAATTTATCTGGGCGCTCACACACGCCAAGCCTCTTACGCCACCTATCCCGCAACTTGATGCTACACACCGCAGCCCAAGGAGATTGCACCACTGCACGGTCACCAACTTACATGGCCTGGTGAAAAGGGTGCCCAAGGCGATGCATCGTGGATTTAATCCTCTGAGCAGCCTCAGCCATGAGCACTACCATTCGCAATGGGGCCATGGCACAGCCTTGCAGAGTGGCAGAAGCGACCCTGTGGCATTTGCCATCGGTCCAAACAATCAGTTGGAACCAGCGATACTGGTCTCCCCAAAGCATTTGCCCACTCTGGGTGCAGGCCTGCATGTTCAAGCGTGTTAGTCACAAGCCACGGGTGCATCATATCAAAGGCTTTCTTCATATCCAAGCTTACAAGGATAGCACTGTCATGTGAAAAGGCATCAGCAAGACCTAGAACTGCTGACTCCACACTCCTCCCCTTCAAAGCTCCATGGAGCTGAGCATCAACCAACGTCACTACCCAACTCTTGGCCTTTCGAGCCATGACAGATGAGATGACCCGATTGATGACATGCTGGATTGTGATGGGCCGGAGCTGCGCAACCTCAATGAATTGGTTTCCCTCGCACCGTTCCTTAGGAAGAAAGACTTGCTTGGCATGCAACATATGGTGAGGTAGCTTACCAATGGTCAAAGGAAGTTTAGAAGCAACTTCCGTGGTACGGAAACTGATTGAGCCCGCGAAAAGATAGAGAATGCGCGAAAGCGTGGCAGGGTGCAGGAAGTCGCTGCTGCAGATGCGCGAAAGGTGCCTCTGCCGCGGCGCCTGTTCGGGACGGGCTCGGAACGGTCTCGGACGGGGGGCCATTGGCACGGCCGCGCGGAGGTTTCGCAAGGTTACAGTTTCGTGGCAGGCGCAGCACTTTCGTGGCAGTCGCAGCACTTTCGCAAGGCCAAGTATAGATTTCGTGGCAGGCGCGGCATTTCCGCAGCGCTGGCATGGACGCATCGCAAATCCCATTGGCACGGGCGCGCAAGGTGGCGCATGCAGATTTCGTGGCAGGCGCAGCACTTTTGCAAGGTTAGGTGCAAGTACGAAAGTAGTACGCGAAGTGTACTCTGGCAGCTCCGGCTAAAAAATCGCAACTTTTAAGTACGAAAGTAGTACGCGAAATGCACTCTGGCAGCTCCGGCTCGAAAACCGCAATTTTTGAGTACGAAAGTGGCACGCGAAGAAAACTGTGGCAGCTCGGGCTCGAAAATCGCAACTTTTAAGTGCGAAAGTAGTGCGCGAGTTGTACTCTGGCAGCTCCGGCTCGAAAATCGCAACTTTTACGTACGAAAGTAGGTTTCGCACGCATCGAACGTTTGGATGCGCAAAAAGACAGAGAACGCACAAAAGTGAGCATCAGATGCGAGAAGCTGCCTTCTTTCCGAGCGCGTGCCATTTCAGGCCGCGAGGCGCTGCAGCATTTGCTTGAAAAGAAGTGCGGCTGGGAGGTTGCGGGGCCGAATGTTTTGGACATGGCATGTTCAAGGAGCAAGGCACCCCCGCTGAAACCAGCAACCATGCAAATGCTATAAGTCCCATTTGTTTCAGAAACTTCCGCCTCCCGGCTTTGCCGGCTATACTGGTAACCAGAATGAGTTTGAAGGCCCCCACATTGTCTAGGCCTTCAAAGCCATTGATCACACTAAAAGCACAGCTTGCTTTACCAGGCAGTACTAGGCCCCGTTCGATAATACAAACATGCCTCACATTCATTCAAAAATGCTGGCTTTAAGTTTAATCTCAGATCTGAAATAGTCCACTCAAAAAAGCACTCAATGCAAGAAGGGAAGGCTCAGGCCTAGAAACCTAATGACCAGCCTCAGCGCAAGCGCAGCACCAAGTGAAGAGTGGATTCCTTCTGAATGTTATAGTCCGAGAGCGTGCGGCCGTCCTCAAGCTGCTTGCCGGCAAAGATCAACCGCTGCTGGTCAGGTGGGATGCCCTCCTTGTCCTGGATCTTGGCCTTAACATTGTCGATGGTGTCGCTGGCCTCCACATCGAGGGTGATGGTCTTGCCAGTCAGCGTCTTCACAAAGATCTGCATGCCACCTCGCAAGCGCAGCACCAAGTGAAGGGTGGATTCCTTCTGAATGTTATAGTCCGAGAGCGTGCGGCCGTCCTCAAGCTGCTTGCCGGCAAAGATCAACCGCTGCTGGTCAGGTGGGATGCCCTCCTTGTCCTGGATCTTGGCCTTAACATTGTCGATGGTGTCGCTGGCCTCCACATCGAGGGTGATGGTCTTGCCAGTCAGCGTCTTCACAAAGATCTGCATGCCACCTCGCAAGCGCAGCACCAAGTGAAGAGTGGATTCCTTCTGAATGTTATAATCCGAGAGCGTGCGGCCGTCCTCAAGCTGCTTGCCGGCAAAGATCAACCGCTGCTGGTCAGGTGGGATGCCCTCCTTGTCCTGGATCTTGGCCTTAACATTGTCGATGGTGTCGCTGGCCTCCACATCGAGGGTGATGGTCTTGCCAGTCAGCGTCTTCACAAAGATCTGCATGCCACCTCGCAAGCGCAGCACCAAGTGAAGAGTGGATTCCTTCTGAATGTTATAATCCGAGAGCGTGCGGCCGTCCTCAAGCTGCTTGCCGGCAAAGATCAACCGCTGCTGGTCAGGTGGGATGCCCTCCTTGTCCTGGATCTTGGCCTTAACATTGTCGATGGTGTCGCTGGCCTCCACATCGAGGGTGATGGTCTTGCCAGTCAGCGTCTTCACAAAGATCTGCATGCCACCTCGCAAGCGCAGCACCAAGTGAAGAGTGGATTCCTTCTGAATGTTATAATCCGAGAGCGTGCGGCCGTCCTCAAGCTGCTTGCCGGCAAAGATCAACCGCTGCTGGTCAGGTGGGATGCCCTCCTTGTCCTGGATCTTGGCCTTAACATTGTCGATGGTGTCGCTGGCCTCCACATCGAGGGTGATGGTCTTGCCAGTCAGCGTCTTCACAAAGATCTGCATGCCACCTCGCAAGCGCAGCACCAAGTGAAGCGTCGATTCCTTCTGAATGTTGTAGTCCGACAGCGTGCGGCCGTCCTCAAGCTGCTTGCCGGCAAAGATCAACCGCTGCTGGTCAGGTGGGATGCCCTCCTTATCCTGGATCTTGGCCTTCACGTTATCGATGGTGTCGCTTGCCTCGACATCAAGGGTGATGGTCTTGCCAGTCAGCGTCTTCACAAAGATCTGCATGATTGTTGCCGGAAATTGAATTGATGACTCACACTATCTGCTCAATTGCGGGATTCGCTATTGGCTTCGGGCCATACAGCAATTAATGTGCCCAAAGGAGGTGCAGTTTCTCGTTTCTTTTGGCAAAGACAGACAGTGCCGTGCCGGCTTGTGGGAACTACCCACTATTGATACCGGTGGAAGGCCCTTCTCCAATGACTATTCTTCACTTGAAGGGTAGGCTCGCTAGTACCACAAAAGTTGGACACCCCCCCTCCATTTCCCGCAACACTGGTCTCGCATGCCCAAAGGCGATGTAAATAAAAGGCTATAACCATCCACAGTAGACCAACAAGGGGAGAAACAAAGAGTCAAAAGGCCAAATCGAATTGGAGTGAGTGCTTCGGCCAGGTCATAGACCTCGGCGAAGGTTTTGGTCCCTCGAGGTTGGGACCCAAGGCATCTGTCTGCGTTTACGCACGAGCGCAAAACGCGCTCCAAGATGTCAAGAACTCACATTCACGAGTTCAAAGGGGGTAATTACCTCTCCAAAAAACCCAAATGGTTCGGACCGCAAACACTGCAGCGAAAGACCTCCATATGGTTCAGGCGTCAAGTTGTCTCACCCAGCATGTTCCGCAAGCATAGAAGGGGTTAGTTGTTGAAAGATCCCGTTTTTATTTGTTTATTTTTGTGAGGCACACAACCGAACACCTCCCCCAAGACCACTCGTTCCATTCGAAAGCTCCTGCCCCTCATGTTTTGACATGGATGAAGGCGATTGCACTTGGGTTTGTCTCGAGATTGGGGATTTTATGTCAAAAACACAATTGGAGATAACAAAGACACAAAGAGACACACCAACCCAAAGAGACCTTCCAAACCCAATTGGCCTGGCTTCCGGTTCAATCCCCAAGACACACACCAGGATTTCAACCGTCCGTCACTTTCCGAGCCAGCAAGTCATCATGGGGCAAGGTGATGTTGCTCTTCCTTTCCCTCGCAGAAAATGGTTTCGTCACCCCCCAAAGCGAAGAATCCTGGTTTCGCCGCTTAGTTCTCTTGCTTTCGGGAAAATGAGGAACCTTCCCTTTCCAATCATCGCGACTGCTTAAGATTGAGACCTGCAAAAAGTTCCAGGTCGTTGCTGGCAAAGGAAAATTATGGAGAATCAAAAGTCATAAGCCTCGTTTGCTGAGTCTGGCAAAGAACTTTTCAGCATTTTCGCGAAAGTGGCGGGACTTTGGGGCGGGTACGCCAAAGGCTCCCGAGCCCTCCAGGAAGTCACCCCGGCAGAATACACCGATAAAAACCGAGAAACCCGTTCACCGAAGATTTGGGGCTTGGGGGAAGCATGAAACATGGGGAGGTTGGGGGGGTGATACCGACGACCACATTTCCGTGCTGGGCACCAGGCATCCCAGCTGCAAATTAGCCTGGATTTTGTCGCCATCCCCTGTGGATGGCTGCGACAGCCAGTTCGCACAAACCAGAAAAAACCCTGTAATGATTCGACAAACAAATAGCGGGTTCCCTTGAATTCGTTTCGTGGTGCGAACAAATGTCGCAACCATCCACAGCAGGGTCCAACAAAAATATGTGTATGTATATATATATATATCACCCTTCGGAAAGGCTGACGCTTCGTTTGCGAGTCTCCCCAAAGGAGGGCGGTTTAGAATAAAAACACATTGACAATTACGGGAGGTTCGGCCAAGCCCTGGTTTAAAAACCACTTGAACATCCTGATTTTCCTTGGGTCTTCGTTTGAGTGCTGGAGAAAAAGGTATATGTTTCGTGCAGCAAAACAAAAAAATACGCCTTCCAAAAGCCCCCGAGTCCAGGTTTTTTTCGAGGCTCCGGCTCGACCCAAAATCCCCGTCCCGGCCTTCCAAGAGCTCCACCACCACGGGATGCTCGAAGCCGGCGGTGCGGCAGGCGCGGACGACCGCCTCGGGGGCTGCGTGCAACGAAACCGCGGGCTGGCTGGCTGGGGGAAAGGGTTGGTCCGGTTTCGTTGGTTTTGGACACTGGTTTGCGGAAAGGTTTGGCTTGGTTGGTTGGTTTAGACGGAAAAAAAGAAGGTGACACAAGTGCTGAAGGTCCAGCTACTGTGGGATCCGATGTTGCATGAGAGGAGCTCTTCCGCTATTCAAGGGATCCCGCTTCATGTCAGGAGTGGACTACCGCATTTAGAAACCTTTGGGGGGTTCGGGGTCCTTCACCTCCATTTATGTTGTCTTGTTGAGCATGAGGCAAATGGAACCAAAAATGGAACTGCAAGGGTCACCCACATTAACGAGGCCACCCACAGGTAAGATGAGCTCAACAACAATGAAGGTCAGGTTGATGATTCAAAGTAATTTGTGCAAAAACATGCGTCTGTCTCAAAAGTACACCAGCTATCTGAGGAAACATCCAATAAGCAGACCCCTAAACAAATCCCCTCTTAGGGGTCGGGAAACATCCAAACGCCAACTTGTTTCATCCCTCTCAGCCGTTGGGGCTATGAACAACAAGCTGCCAGCGCATCTCAAAACGACCCAAAGTTTGGCTCGCCTGCCCAGTCATATCACTTCGTTCCAAATTCAAACCCACCAAGGAAGCCTTTCGCTTTCCACATTCAAAGCCAAGACAAAGGGCGTGAAGGGGGGCGTTCAAACCGCGAAAGGCGCCGGCCTGAACGTACGGCAGCTTGAACCTCCGCCCGCTGCGGAGGCCCTGCGGAGGCTCGAATGGGAACCCCTAAAACAGGCGACGTCCTGTTGGAGTCCCTTAAAATCAACTCAAAAAAACTGGTTTGAAGGCAACAAAAAAGGAAACCACAAACTGTTTGGGGGGTCCGAGTCCTATTTTCAAACCCCACAAAACAGAAGTCTTTCCCCGAAACAGTTCAAGTAGTCATCCAAGGCGGTTTTGATTCTGTTCCTTCGGATAAGACATGGATGCCCTCTGTCCCTGTGTCAGGATTGGTTAATTTGCGCGCCTGCTCCCTTCGTTCGAAGCGGCAGCCGTTTATTCGGCTCCAAAATGGTTCCCTGCGCCAAGCCATGTTTGGGAGTTCAAACTCACCCCGCCGAATTGTTGCAAAAAGTTGGGGCCAAGGTCCCAAGACCAGCAAAGGCGATGAGTGACTTCTCCCCCCCTGTGCTAACCAGAGGACCCAAGAGGGGTGCCCGAATCCGATTTCGAGAAGCTCCATCCGAAAATTCCCAGCTAGTGCAACTTCTTTTGTTGGTCTCGGACCCCTTGGGCTCCTTCCCTTCCGGGAGAGGCTTCCTTCCGTCGCTTTGAGCTTCCGAGCGCCTCTTCACAGCTTGGGCCCAGGGGTCCAAGAAACCCGCTGACCGCCTGTCTCGCCATAGCCTCCAGCACGGCGCCGTCCTGCACCAGCCTAGTTGGCTTTTCGGTTGTCCCCACCCGAAAAACTTGCCGCTGCGAGAGGCAGGGAATGAGTTGGAATGACCCCTATAAACCATCCAACTGGTGGTTTCCTAAAAGGGGAGCCGTAGGGGCTGATCTGGCATTCTCCAAATGCATCCCCTGGTTGAAGACTGACCCCCGTCTGGACGCTCTCTACAGCAAACAAACTTGATTTGAAAATTGCAAGGATCGTAGGAATGAAGGGATTGACTAATAGGGGTCATTCCCTCATTCCCTACCGAGCACCAGCACCCAGCGGGTTGTAACTATGGTAGAGAAGCAAAATAACTTTTACCGGGGCCTCAATCTACTTGCCACTTGCTCCCTTAGAGAATCACATCGAACCTCAAGAACACTCACGTGTGTTCCGTCAAAGGAAAAACAACTCAAGCCACAGCTCAAACATCTTCAGAGGCCAGAGGTCCCGTACAGAGGTCAAACCCTCGCTTCCCGAGTCGATTGGCCAAAACGTCTGAACTGTTGCTTTTCCCACTAAAAAAACACGATCCCCAAACAAAACAACAAGAGTCCAGGTGCCAGGAACTCAGGAAAAATGAGTGTCCCTTCTTCCAACGGACAAACCGGCTTTCAGGGGGCTTCCCCCAAAAAAAAGCCTCCGACCCGATCAGCGCGCGCAGGTCTCTGGGCCCGCCACAATCGCTGGCACGCGGAGGCACAGCTGGCCACGTCCTTGGGGCTGAAGTCCACCTGACATCCGACCGCGGGTCGCTGCAAAAGCCGCGGCCCAAATCAGCTTTGCTGTGATACTAACGTGGCTACCTATTTTCCACATGAAAGCGAACGGGTCTGAGGTTGAGCAATGTTTGTCCAAACGGCCTCGCGTCCCTTTCAATCAGAAACCACAACTGTCCTCACAAAACTCCTGGTAGCTCCAAATGGCTCCCTCATGAAAGGCTAATTTGGATACCCCTAGCTCCGTAGCTCCTGCCCCCAACACTGCTAGACGATTGTCGCTTGAACAAGTTAAAACCCATCGGCCCAACCTTCTGGAATGACGCACGATGAAGGGAAGCTCCTCCCTTGATGAAGCAAAGTGGGTGATCGTAAAAGGTACCTAAGCAAAACCCTGGCGCGTGGCTGCCAAGATGATGGTAGGACACGTTGTTAAGAGTCTCGTTCATACAAATGCAACGCAGTTCCGCATTTTGGGCACCTCTCGAAGCATCTGGGGCGCCAACCATGTGAATGGCGATCTGTCTGCCGATGGACTTCAACAGGTCTTCCTCAAGGAGACACGACTCGATTCCGAATACACCCGATTGTTCTTAAGTGCAGGCGTGCAACACTTGGTGGAGCCCGGTGGCATCGAACAATTTGCCTAGAGTGGCGACTGAAGAAACTGCTAACATTCCTTGGCGACAAAAAAGTACTTTTGTCCCCCTTTCACAGGGGTTCTTGAAGTCACAAGACCCAAAAATTGCCAACTGAACCAGTACAGGGGTCACTGGATTTTCCCTTCGAAGGCTGCAATTTACTGGTGGTGTGCTCTAAAACTGCCAAATTTGGAAGTTCCCAAAAAAGTGAAATAGAGGTTGAAAACAGAGCAGTCTTGGAATGGATAAGGGGGAAAAAAAAAGCCCCAGGTTCCACTCTCGGCCCCCGGTTGCGTGAGTTTCGAGGAAACCGCAACGGCAGGGCAAATGGTCCCCTCCCTAGAATGCTCAAGACGCCGAAAATAAAATCCGTGGAATCCCATCTCTGTTCAGCCAAACTGAAACCAAACATGGCAGCTCGCCCCTGCTTATCCTGGAGCCCACGAAGCCACGAATCTACTTGCGGGACCCGCTTTTTTTGTTGTGTTCTAGGATAAACGTGTGCCACACAAAGTGACGCACTAATCTTACAGGGGTGATGTTTAGATCACCCCAACAGGAATTGAAATACAAGGACTCTGCCATCCAAGCTGGGTATCAAACAGAGGATCTGCAAACAAAACGATCCCCTCTTGGCTTCCTCTGACAAAGTGTAGGCTATTTAGCACCCCAGCGCAAGCACCCGAAGCGCGAGCACCGAGCCTGAAAGACCTGAACCTTGGCCAAGGCGTCCATCGCCTATGGTCGACGTCGGCGCTTTGGGCTTCCTGCTAAGAGTCTAACTGTTAGTGGGTCAAATGGAAGCTACCACTAAACCAACTAAAAACCCAGAAACCTAAGGAACCGGATGGCTGGGGACCACTAAGTTTGCTTTTCCTGGTTCCTTTTGGCTTGGTTCCGGTTTCCTTTGAACATCCCAGGAAATATGCTGAGGTCAATCTCATCCCAGAGAGTGCCAAGTCCTGAAAGACTTGGAAATTGGGAACCCCAGAATCCCACTAGCCAAAGTGATCCGGACTCCCACTAAAGGAACCGCCCTAAAAATGAAAAGTTTGACTAATGCGGGCTTAAAATTAGTCAACGGAAGTCGCAAGAGGTCCGCTCCAAAGGACAAACTGATGCAGGAACTCTCGTTCAAAGGAGGTGTCCACCGAAAACGTGAAAGCACGCCAGCAAGTCGGCGAAAGGGAGGGATTCCCGGGGTTGGCGATGGACCATGGAGGAGCCAAGAGGCTGCCCTTGCCACTTGCCTTTGCTCAAATCTCCGTCAGTGGGTTTTGGTTTTTTGGATGGTCAACCCCTCAATGACGCTGAACTCTGGCAAAGCCCCTTACGAGGCTCCCCCTAGGAGGAACTTTCGCATCGGATTTCTAAATTCCCGATATAGTTATCAAGGGGGTCCATGACCATCCCCACCAACCCCGAGTAAAAGTGTCTTTTGGCCATGGCACATATAGTTTCTGAAACAAATGCCAGAAAAACCGAATCCATCAAACTGGGTCCTAGGAACCGCCTCTCGCCCCTGTCGTAAGGCGGTTCCCGCCTGCACCAAACGCCTGGGGTGGTCCAACTCCGGCACACGGCCCGACAACTGCGCCACCAGCACCTGGCACCTCAGATTTGCGATCCGATGCTGAATATGTATATACAAATGTGTGTGTGTAGAGAGAGAGAGAGAGTCTCATACGCATCATTGCGTTGTATCAAAAAAAAGTGCTGTTACTATTTCCTTCATATTATTATGTTCATGTCTGTTATTACTCCTATTACTACTGTTCCTATTACTATTATTAATATTACTATTATCATTACAAATGTTATTATTATTGCTATTATTACTATTGCTATTCCTACTACTATTATTATTACTATTATCATTGTTATTATTATTAAGCTATATACCGTGTGTAGATGTGTACATATGTGCACAAATATAATGTATTGAGACAAATAAGAGTGACGTATATACACGGAAGTCTTCCAACGCGAGCGCAATAGAGCATTGAAGGACAGCAGGCCCCACTCCGGCACAAGACCTGAATCAAGCCTCTAAGCAATCTTTTTAGGCCCAAGGAATGTCAGCCCAACCTCCAACAAAGGTAGGTAGTGGAAAAGGATTGTCAGACCTATCCATAAAGCTTGATTGGGAACCACCAAGATCATGAAAACCGATCGGAATTAGAATGAGTCTACCCAAAACCATGGTAAAGAATCAACATTTATGGCTGCGACTGATTGGGGCTGTCTCCTCTTTCAAACCCTCTGGTTCCAAAATGAAAGCTTCAATAATCCAACCAATGTAACAAAAGTCTTGAAGCCTCCAATGCGTACCTTTAATCAAGCCAACCACAAGGTACCGGATTGGATGGTGGCCAGGCCCTCTACCTGGAACCTGCAGGCCAGCCCAACAAAAACGATTTGCCACCTCGACGCACCTCCCCAAGAGCACAACCAATAACTGCACTGCACTAACAAACAAGCTGGAGGCCAGCTGCCAGGGCCAAGCGTGCCAAAAACTTTACCAAAGCGCATCCGACCAATTCAACTCCGCTCCCTTGCCGCCAGCGGGCGCATCGTCCGCGGATTCCACACCACCCAGGCAACTCAGCAGCTTGACGAGGACTTCAACGGGGAGGTCTGGCGGAATGGAAGCAAGCATTGGAGCCATGATTTTCTTCCCGGCCGTTGTTTGGCCTATGTTGGCAAATGTTGAGTGTCTTCTGGGAATGACGGGGTGGTTGCGTTGGCGCCTTCACCCGCACGCAGTGGGCAGGGTGCACACACAAGTTCCGCAAAACAAACGCAAGGCCTTGCCCACTAGGCCACTAGGTCCGTCGCAACCTCCCCTGAAGTGAAGAAACAAAATGATCAGAAGAAGGTTCATCATCAAACATGCAAATTGGATTGATGACAAGGTGTCGTCCTCTAGCCTTGGGATCACCGTTGGACTGGAACGGCTAATTTTCCTCCTGAGAAGCAAGATTCCATGGCCATGCAATGTATCTGTGTAGCACACAAGTAGCGGAACATACGTGATATATGTGTACGTACGTACGTACGTGCGTCCGCACGTACGTACGTATCTATGTATGTATGTATGTACGTACGTACGTTTGTATGTATGTATGCGTGTGTGTGTGTGTGTACGTATGTACGTATGTACGTATGTACGTATGTACGTATGTAGGTATGTAGGTATGTACGTATGTACATATGTACGTATGTTCGTATGGACGTATGTATGTATGTTTGTATGCATGTATGTATGTGTGTTTGTATGTTATGTATGTATGTGTGTGTGTGTGTACGTATGAAAATATGTACATATGTACGTATGTGCGTATGTACGTATGTACGTATGTATGTATATTCGTATGTATGTATGTATGTATGTATGTATGTATGTATGTATGTATGTATGTATGTATGTATGTATGTATGTATGTATGTATGTATGTATGTATGTATGTATGTATGTGTATGTATGTATGTGTATGTGTATGTATGTATGTGTGTGTATGTGTATGTTTATGTGTATGTGTATGTGTATGTGTATGTGTATGTATATGCATGTTTATATGTATATGCATATGTCTATGTATATGTATATGTATGTGTTTGTGTATATGTATATGTACATGTGTATGAGTATGTATGTATGTGTATGTGCATGCGTCTGTGTATGTGTATGTGTATATGTATGTACGTACGTATGTATGTATGCATGCATGCACGCATGCATGTAGGTATATGTGTGTATGTCTGTCTGTCTGTCTGTCTGTCTGTCTGTCTGTCTGTCGGTCGGTCTGTCTGTCTGTCTGTCTGTCTGTATGTCTGTCTGTCTGTCTGTCTGTCTGTTTATGTATGTATGTAGGTAGGTATGCATGCATGCATGCATGCATGTATGTGTGTATGTATGTATGTATGAATGTATGTATGTGTGTGTGTGTCTGTCTGTATGTATATGTACATGTATATGTATGTGTATGTGTATGTGTGTGTATGTATGTGTATGTGTACGTGTATGTGTATGTGTACGTGTATGTGTAAGTGTATGTGTGCATGCATGTATGCATGTATGCATGTATGCATGTATGCATGTATGCATGTATGCATGTATGCATGTATGCATGTATGTATGTATGTATGTATGTATGTATGTATCTATGTATCTATGTATCTATGTATCTATGTATCTATGTATGCATGCATGCATGCATGCATGCATGCATGCATGCATGTATGTTACATATGTACGTATGTACGTATGTACGAACGTATGTATGTACCAGTATGTATGTATGCATGTATGCATGCATGTACGTACGTTCGTACGTATGTGTATGCGTGTATGCGTGTATGTGTGTATGCGTGTGTATGTGGGTATGCCTCTGTGTGTTTGTGGTGTGTGTGTGTGTGTGTGTCTGTGTGTCTGTGTGTGTGTGTTTCTGTGTGGGCATGAGCGTATGCGCGTGGAAATGCGGGGCATGTTGCGCAACATTATCAATGCCAAAAATGCTATTGTTCTTTAGATTGGTTTGGCTGGTTGTTAGGCCAGAATGCAGCAAAAACGTGAAACAATGCTCTCTTATACATATGTACATATGTACATATGATATGTGCATGTGCACGTACATTGACTTCTGGCAACTGGAACGCCATACCCCGGTGCCTGCAAGCTCTTCGGGCCGTTCTTGGCAGCGGGTCATCAAGCCTACAGACTGCCAATTTCGGATGCCTAGAAAGGATTCCTGGAAAAAGGTCGCCTGGGTTTTTCATCGCCCTTTTGAAGAACCCTTATGGGCCTTATGGGCCTTATGGGCACTGGGGTGTGGCTGTTGGCTGTCCCACCTTTTCGCTTGGACGACTGTCCTCCCAGCCAAAGACTCGCCTTGCTGCAGCACCCGGCAGGGTATGCTCAGGCGCAGAGAGGCCTGGCAGGCTGAGGTGTCATACCCAAAACATGTAGCAGGCTTTTAGAAAGCAGTACGGGGTAGTGTTGTTTACCAGATCTGGTTTACTACTAACAGGTCTAAGATACATGCGCCGTACCTTCTTACGGTCCATGTGTAGGCTGCCAAAAGCAAGGCAATGCAAAGAACTTGGGGCGGACAGTGCGCATGGCTGCGAAAAGACGCGCGCCAATTGTGCTGAGTTTTGGAGATGTCCTACTGTGGATGGTCGCAATCCTGCACCGGTTGGTAGATGGCTCATTCCAGTGTTCATAGGGTTTTGCCCATCTTGCCTGGTGCAGGATGTTGTCCATCAACAGTATCTTGTTCTTTGGTTGACAAGGTGGAACTGGCTATGAACTTTGAGACGGAACCACCTCAAATGTGGTTGGTGGACACGCATCCCCATCTATAGCCCGCTTGCTCCGGGCTTCTTGTCTCATCCAAAAACGGTCAGGTGAACTGCAGAGAGGGTGAGCCATGAGCCTTTTTGGGGCACAGTTAAAGGACAACCAGCACCTGCAAAATGGTTGGTGTCCTTTTGGAGTCCCTTCAAATAGCAACCAAAAGGGGCACTGCCATTTTGAGAAGCACTACGAGGGGCTCGATGATTACACAGATTATTGTCTTATGATGACTTCATTTGGTTTGAATGTCTCCCACAACCCATTCCAGTGATTTGTCCACCAATAGTGCTTGTTCTCTTTTTGTTCCTTCTTTTCCCCCTTGGTTCTGCGCCAGGTAGCCGATCCCAATTCCAGGTTCATGATAGCAAAAACGACAGGATTTGGACCGGGATTTGGGTTCTCTTTGATTCTCACGTCATAAATTTGATGGTGCACTTCAAAATTTGGTGCACTTCAAGATTTGGTGCACTTCAGAATTCATAGCATTTGTGTCTCAAGATGGGAGCTCCTGACCCTGCCCCTCATTTGCAGAATAGAATATTCCGTTCTTTCGTCCTTCTGGGCTTACATTCGCCACATTCGAGACATTCGGTGAACATCGCCCCCCCGTGGCCACTGCTTCGGTCCGAATTTTCGTCACATCGAAGCGGTCCGGCTGCGGAAGGCGCTGCTCGGCCAGGACCCGCTCTTCCTCCAATCGGAACCCCCCGAACCGAAGTGACTCAAAAAATCGGCCGACAAAAGGGCTGTGCGCTTCTCGTGTTTTTGGAGATCTATCTTTTTGAGGGTTTCAACGGAAACCAAAATGAAAAGGCAATATATTTGAGGTCCCTCCTAGTTGGCACAGATTGGGCGACACCCAAGAAGGGGGAGTTTGAGAAGGGAACTAAGAAGCCAACCATTTGTTGGTCCCCTATTTTTGGACACACCAAACCCCACGATCTGTGTGTATCCTTTTAAGGGAGGGGATTCCATTGGCAAGCAAGTAGAGCCAAACTGAACCAGTGGAATCCATCTGGAAATTGTTGTATTAATAAGTCATCTACCGAAAATAGGGATCCCAATGAAAGAAACCTTCATCCTGGGTGACGTTGTAGCCCCCCAGTGACATGGCTTTTCTCTGCCCAGAATCCATGCTCAGAACAGCACAAAAACTTCTGCGCCAGGCTCATGATGAAACAAAGAAACTGATCCTCCCACAAACTCTGTCACCTCGCTATCTTGAAGAATCTCGCTGAGCCTGGGCATACCTCACGATCCAAACCACCCATCGTAGAAGGAAGCTCCATTTGGCATCTAAGGAGCATGCCTTGACAGTCCATAAGCCTCGTAAACCGTAGGCACCCAAATGGGTTCTCAACATGTGTGAGCCACAGTCTGTAGATGGCTGCCCTTGACTTTCCCTTGCTCACAAAAGACAAGCCGTACTTTGCATTTGCAAAACTTGTACTTTTGCACATTTCGGAATGTCTTCTTGTTTGCTCACTTGCTCACTATTACACAAAGCCTTTTTCTTAGGTGTTGCCTTGCTTCTTTCTCCTTTCTCCTTCCTTCTTGCTCCTTTCTCATTTCTGATTGCTTCTGCTTCCTTCTTGCTCCCTTCTCCTTTCTCCTTGCTCTTGTTCCTCCTTCTTCTTGCTCCTTGCCTGCTTCCTTCTTGCTCCTTTTTTCTTGCTCCTTCCTGCTTCCTTGCTCTCTTGCCTGCTTCCTCTTTCTCCTTTCTGCTTGCGTGCTCCTGGCTCCCAGGACCTCTCATTGCACTTGAAATGGGGCGGTCTGAGATGGGGTCAGTTTAAGGAAACGCTCTGCCCTTCATTTCGTGTTCGCAAGAAAAGGGCTTAGGGTTTTACCAAAACGTGAGGTGAAGGGAGCCGAAACTCCCACCATCCACAAAGAATTCGTGCATTCGAACTGAAAGGTCGGCCCCTCGCAACATCAGGGCCAGGCTTGGGCGATTCAACCCCCCTGTTCCAACCATGTTCAAGCCAATGTTGCTCCTTTGAGTTCCCCTTTGAAGGTGGCCAGGGTCTGGTTTCTCAAGGCTGAAAAGGGGAAACTTCTGAGCCCTGCAAAGGGACCACTGGCAACTTCCCGAAGGCTCGGATCCAAGGGGCTGCAGCTGCGAAACCATGAGGCAGCGGTGCAGGGCGATGGCCGCCTGGCAAGCTACCCCGAAAGCTACAGGTGGCAAGCCGGTTGGTGGGAAAGCCGACAAAGACGAACTAAAGGTGGCAGTAGGAGAAGGAGGAGCAGCAGCACCAGCAGTAGCAGTAGCACTAATAGCAGTAGTATCAGTAGAAGCAGCAATAGCAGTATTTGCTAGTAGTAGCAGGTAGTAAACTAGTAGAAGACTAATAGTGAGCAAACCAATACCAGGTAAACTAGTAGCAATTAGGTTGGTTTAAGCCTAGAGGAGGGTAAACAAGTAGGTTTGCGCCTTTCCCCTAGCTTTCTTTTGGTCTGTCGCTTGACCCAATAAAATGCTAAGGGTCGAAAGCCCGCCCAGCTTGCAGGAAATATGACCCTTGGTGTCCCAGTTGCCGTGAACGGACGACCAACGTCCGCCTTGGGGTGGCGCTGCTCGGCTTCCAGCAGCTTCTCGCGGCGCAGGAGCAGCAGCATGGAGGGGCAATCCGCAACCAGGGAGCAGGTGTGCAGATGCGGCGCGTAGAGCGCCGCCTTGGAAAAAAAACGGGAGAAGAAACACAAAAGAACGGACCACCAGCAAACCCCGAACCTGACCCTTCCACCCTTTTGGACCCAACCCCCCACCACCCCCACCCCCCCTCCTCCCCCATTTCCTTTCCCGCAGCAAGGTGTGAGTTCAACCAAAAGCGCCAAACAAGAACGGCTGCGCGAAAGATCATGCTTTTGGAGCAGTGGTTCGACGCAAAAAAGAAGAAGTAGTCAACATTGAGACACTGTCGATCATAGTTGCACCAACAGAATTATCCCCAAACTGGTTCAGCGCTAGCTGAAAGTCTTAACTGTGGCAAGCTGAACAGCTCCATACATCAACCTTGGATCACGGGCTCCGATCTGCTTGCAGATGGGCGGTTCGAGCAGCTTCCAAGCACCAGGCCGAGACTTCAGCCCCCATGCGGGCCCAAATCACTGCTTGTCAACCTTGAGTTGAACATCCGTTGCTCATGGGTTGAATGCTGGTGCGCGTGGGGCATGCACAGCAAGAACGGTGTGCTTGATCAAGGTCAGGCTCCAAGTTGAGCATTGCAAGAAATTGATACCTAAGAAAAATCCTATGAGAAGCCATAAGCCAGCCAGTGTTGGATAGTTGAGTAGTGACCCGCACGCGGTAAAACTGGCACCGACCTGTGGCGTTCACAGAGTCAGGAACACTGCCACCAATTGCGAGACTATAACCCACCTCAATACATTTGAAGAGCTGAATCAGCCACCATCCAAACGTCGTGCCGGTTGAAACGTTTTTAGCGAGTAAACTTTTAGTTATGTAATCCCCTGGCATTCACTGCCAGCATGGAGCCTGAAACGGCAAAGGAAAACATCCGTGGCGCTTCTGGGAGGCAATCGTGAAACGCCGCCCTCAACCCCTGCCTCCGCCACGCCGGGGTTGGGCACAAGTTGTTTACACAATCGGACCGCGATCCCTTCGAGGGTATCACCAATGCCAGTGTCTTTACATAAAGATGCGGGTATTTGTTTTCAGGGGTTCCCTTTTGGAGTGGTGACAAAGCAAAAAACCAGAAGGAAGCTCATTCGTTTGTGGGGGTGCCATATTCTGTCTGACACCCCTCACCCCACCCCACCCGCCTCCCGCTAAAAAACCCTCGCGCTCCCGGCCTCGCACAGCACCTCCCCCGCGCTCATCGCCTTGCCGCGGCTGGCGTCTTCCCCGGCCGCCGAGCCGTAGCTGCGCTTGATGCTGGCGTCCGGCACCAGCTCGCCTCAAGGAGAGAGCCCCTTTCGCCTCTATTTGGCCATGGGGCAAAAGCCAAATCATAGCCCCCAGTGAACATCCCAATCCCCACTATAGACTAAAATGGGTGGTGCACCTACCCCAAAATGGTACCATTGGTTCAGTCACCCTATGCCGATCCCATTTTGGGGCGGACGAACACACATGTACCACCTATTTTTATGTTCACTATGGGTACAGGGTTTTGAGCGTACCATATGGCTATGATTCAAAAGCCCGGTTAGCCCCCAGTGAACATCCCAATCCAACCACTAAAATAGGTTCTAAGATGGGTGGTGCACCCTTTTTCAAAATGGTACCATTGGTTTTGACCCACAGCCATTTGTTTTTGAGGCGAAAGGTACCCGGAGCCCTTGGGATGCGCTTTTCCTCATAGCCGACCAGGGAGGTTGTAACCCAAGTACCAAGCGCACCAGGCACCTTGCCTTTTAAGGCACCTTTTGAAGTGCCCGTTGATTTTGTTGGGCTGTGGATTATCCAACGCCGGTTGAAAAAAGCCAGGTGCGGGAATGGGGCGGAGGCATCTCAACCGGCCGTCATCACACTTCTCCACGCTCCCCCACAAGCGCATCATGTCCCCTCCCCTCTGTGGAAAACCCAGCCAAAGAAAAGAAGCGCAT